GAAAAGCGGCCAAGGCCCAACAAAAGGCTGTAGAGCCATAGATAGATAGACAACTGTCTAAAAAGTACCTATGGTCACATTTCTGTCCAGTTACACATAACTGACTGGCAGATTAAACAAAAATATATATTTTTACCCTATCAACTATCTAATAAGTATGTACGCCCTAGCATTATGCCTACTTACGTATAACTACTAATTTAACTTACTGCGTAGCTTCGAGTATAGTTAACTGATTTTTAATAAATTACCTACCTTCATATTTAATATTTCTAACCAATAAATTAACTAATTTATTAAAATTCTGATAGTATTAATGAAGAAAATTATTTCTACATTTAATTGGAGCCCCTTCTCCTATTCGGAATATACCCAGAGAGAACCTTGGCCGAAAGACCAAAATATTTTCTCTGTAATTTATTCTATTCATCCTGACTAGTAGTGGAATAGTGTTGTGCGTTAGAAACTTGCGAATCACACGCCGTTTTTACTTGCTTCAGGTACAGTGATCACTTCGTGTTAGCTAATATGTAACCTCGGTACTTCGTTTTTCTAAGAAGCAGGGAGCACGCGGTAAAGTAATTGGCTGAGGCACTATGCTGCAAGCCGGAAGGTAGCGGGTTCGCTTCCTGATGAGGTCTTTGGACTTTTAAATTTACCTAATCCTTCCAACTGCACTATGGCCCTGGAGTCGACTCAGCCTCCAACAGAAATGAGTACCAGAAATATTCTTGGGGGTAAAGGGCGGTCGGCGCGTAAGACTGACATCCATCTGCGAGCTGATTGTCTAGAAAATATGGGATCCTCGACGTCTCACAACCCTATGGGCCTCCACGGCCTGTTACAGGGATATATTTAAAGTAAAAGTAAAGCTATTCCTGTAACAGGCCGTGGAGGCCCGTAGGGTTGTGAGATGTTGAGGTTCCCACATTTTCTAGACAATCGGCTCACAGATGGCGGTAAGGTTGTCAGCCCTACGCGTCGGCCGCCCCAATAATATTCCTGGAAGGCGGGGGTGATGGATATGTTTACATTTGTTTAAGAAGCAGGGTGTTTCATGAGGAGGATCTCAGATGCTATAGGAGTTAAGAAGTTCTCACGAATTGGTGGATATTTTTTCAGTATCGATTATGCTGCTCTATTCTTCAGTCATCACTAGTTCTCATTTCCATACGAAAATAATAATGATCATAATAATAATTATTATTTTTTAAATCGAGATATACCGGCACATAAACTATATATATTCTCAGTATTTTTCTGTGTTGTGCCATGTAGGCAGAGGCTCTGCATTGGGCAGCCCCAGGGTTTATACGAACTGTTGAATCAATTTCTCGGAATTCACTCGGAGTCGGAGGAGACCAGAACCTGCGTCACTACCCCGTATTCTCAGACGTAAGGCCCTGCCACGCCCTGTTGCGTGTTTTAATGGCAACACCTGACCATCAGCATCGGCTACTAAAGAGGTCAGGGTCAGAGTTTCTTGGAGACCCCGAGAAAGTTGTCTTGTGGACAGCCATCATTGGACTTGTTACTCAGTTTTGTAAAAAAAAACATTACCGACGTTGACACAGCCTTAAAACTTTTTATTTGTACTGATTAGAATTTCCGTTCGGATTTCGGCCGATAGATGGCAGTATTGTTTATTATCTCCAGACAAGTTCAAGGATAAATGAACTACAGTTAAATTCACCCAGAAAATTTTAGTATGCAATGCTTACGTGCCTCATTGTTTTTAAGCACAATTATGAACTTTGTTTTGCAACACTTGTAATTTATATTTCGCCATCCATGTAAGAGATTCAAGAGTCCTTTATTCTGAGAACATAACGCCTTATAGTCCGGTGAAAGTCAACAGACATTTCACATGAATATACTCTCCTTCTTCAGGGTGGAAGAATAAGACAAGCAAGGAAACTACATAAAGGCAATAACAGAGCTTACTGTCTACTTCATACTGGTTCCTTATTTGGCGTAATCTTATATCCTGAACAAGGAATATGAAGGTAAGCTCTGCTGGCTGCCTGCTCGTGTTGATTCCTTTTCGACCACGAAGATGGAGACGATATGTTCCTCCAGAACTTCGGTTGACATTCACCCTACTATACGGTGTTATATCCCGGACTCTTTCTTGCCATCGCTGTAAGAACGTCAGACCCAGCAATGTAAGGGACTGTATTTCATATCATATAGGGGCACGCGGTAGCATATTTGGTCGAGACACTATGCTACAAGCCGGAAGATCGCGGGTTCGATTCCAGATGTCACTGGATTTTTTCAATTGACCTAATCCTTCCAGCCGCACTATGATCCTGTTGGCGACTCAGCCTCTAACAGAAATGAGTAATAGGGATATTCTTGGGGGTAAATGGCCGGCCGGCGCGTAAGGCTGACAACCTCACCACCATCTGTAAGCCGATTGTCTAGAAAATGTGGGAGCCTCGACGTCTCACAACCCTATGGGCCTGCACGGCCTGTTACAGGAATAGCTTTGTTTTTTATTATTATTTTTTCATACCACATACAGGACACATCTTCTGTCGCCACTGAATGCTATTACATTGGGTCTATAGTTTACAGGTTTACTATCTCTATGTTTGTCATTACCAGGGCCCGGATTTTGATGACATGTCATCTTTTTTTCCTTGTATCCTATGCGATGCTCATGAGCTGCTGGTTACAGAAATGTAAATTTTATAGGTAATTTTTGTTATTTTTTGACATTTTTAGGTTTAAGGTCATTTCTTCATTTTGGGGGTAATTTTTTGGTAAATTTTTGGACTTTTAAGGGTATTTCTTGTCATTTTTGGCCATTTTAGGGAATTTTTCTTCATATGTTTTCTGAAATGTGAATAACATGGCAGCGAAGTGTTCTTTTTTTTCTCCTTTAGGTCATCTTTCTGGATTTGTCATTTTCTTGATATTTTCAGATCATCAAAATCCGGGCCCTGCATATCACATTTTTGAGTCATATTTTAGGTAATTTTTCTGGATTTTTTCGGTCATTTTATAGGTCAAGTTTTAAATATTTTCAGGTCATAAAAATCCGGGCCCTGGTCATTACCAATTAGCCATTAGAACTGATAATTAACATCCAGCGCAGTGATCAAGTACTTTTCGGGAGAACAGACTTTGAATCTTGGCTGGGCACTTGGCTGTGTAGACGTTGGTTTCCCTAGGTTCTCCTAAGCATTTCCACTGAAAATTCTGGGATTACACCATAAAATATATCAAGGATCCCTTCTTTCACAGTTATCATCTTATTCAATGCTATGGGACTGTGAAAGAGGTAAAATTGTCCATGTACTTAAGTAATTGAGCACTACGCCAGGAAGGCGTGTGGGGAAATGGATGTATAGATCCATATTTTCTTGACCTCGGCACTTGTTTGAGGTGAGTGGTCAGCTTCACGCACAAACCGCATTACCCCCGGGAAAAGAGCCTCCAGTGCCCCCTCGATAAGAGGTTGGGTGGACCCCAGAGCTGGCCTGGACGACATGGAGATTAGAAAATTCTTGACACTAGCAGGACTCGAACTCCGCCCCCTCGTTCGTCCAACTCGTAGTTATTCGCTATACCGGCTCTCGCTATACACGTATAATCTATTAAATTGAGAAGGCCTCGTTAAATGAACTAAATACTAACATGGCGGCAATAGAATCCCAATATTCATCACCGTTAACATCGAAGCCGGACCTCGGAACCGATACTGAATCGGTTTCAGTCACCTCCAATCCTCACAACAAATCACCATGAAATTCAGCCTAAATCTTTCCACCTCTTCCTCGGTTTTCCAAGTGGACGTCCTCCAGTACGATTTGCCTCACCAGAGTTCTGTATCTTTCCGTCTCCCTACCATAATCACGTGCCCAACACATCTTGGCCTTCCTTATTTCACTGTCCTAACAATATTAGGTGACGTGCATAATTCATGACGGCCATGACACACTATCATTCACATAAGTTGGTCTGTTTTGCGGTAACCATGGCATATAATGAAATTGTTTGTATTAGGGTTAATAATTCTCGTGAAAACCTACCGAATAATTTAAATAACGTCCCCCTTACTGGCCAATCACAGCCATGCACTCAACATTATGTTGGGTGTCACGCCCATTCTGCCGTCTCCATATTTGGCCAAACATTTACGTCAGATGTTTTCGCCCTGCCTACAGGAACCATTGTATGCTAACGGAAGAGAATGGTGTGTTTAAGAAACAATACATCTTGATTATTTGCCAGGTGTGCGTTTTGTTTAATATGTCATTCAGGTCACATAAAGCAGAATAAGGTTATTGCATGAAGTGTATAATAAATTAGAAACTCCTTTTAATTCGTTGCAAAATTTAACGTGTTTGCAACCGCCTCTGTGGTCTAGTGATGAGAGTTCCTGGATTCCCGGCGCTACCAGATTTTTACTGAGAAGTAGTGGGTCTGGAACGGCGTCCACTCAGCCTCGTGAGGATAATTGAGGAGCTTTGTTAAGGAAATAGCCGCTCCGGTCTAGAAAACCGAAATTAACGGCAGTGGAGATCCGTTGCACTGACAACGCAACACCCTCTATCCACTAAAGTTGGCACTAACTTCGCCGACAAGCGGCGGTCGCTCGGTCGGTATAGTTCGCTTGCGGACTACAGGCCACGGAGTTTAATTTTTTATTTTTAGTGAATTAGGAATCTTGTTTCTCTGCGATGCGTTTTGCAGCCACTTAAAGGTTTGATCCCAAGCGTACCTGGCCACATGAAAGAGTGAACGTAAGCGCGCTATTCAGTTATAACACCCTTTTGAGGAAATGGACTCTTTATGGGAAAAGAAGATGTAACTGCTTAGTACACAGGTAAGTTTGAACAATCATTTATTAATGTTTGTAATAAATAATTAAATGACTATAGTTTGATTGAAAGAAGGAGAATAAAACGTACAAAAGGTTTGGTTCGGTTGACAAGGGAAGAATGAAGGAAGAATAGAATTCGAGAAGAAACAGATTGGAAAGGAAGCATTTAGTAGGCATAGTTGATGCCGTACGCGTTGCTGTAGGAGATGTGAGCGACAGCGGGGGCGGCAGAGTAAGCCACTCCCAGAAGACCGTGGGCAGCAGCAGCAACGGGGGCAGCATAAGCACCACGGTAAGCTACAGGGGCGGCATAAGCAGCAACAGCGGGGGCGGCAGGGTAGGCAAGAGCGTCATTGCTGACTCGGACGTCGGACTTGCGGACGCTGGAGTACGGGGTGTCGATGGTCTTGGAGTAGGTGGACACCTGTCCCAGGTTGCCATAGCTCCTCAGGATGTTGGATTGCTGTGACGTGATGGCGGGGGCGGCGACGGCCGCTGGGGCGGCGTAACCGAAAGCGGGAGCGGCAGCATAACTTACGGCGGGAGCACCTATGTAACCGGCTTTGGTGACAGCCACAAGAGCAGCAAGAACGAAGAACTGAAATTATAAAAATTTATCCGGTTATTTGTAAACCCTCCAATATACTATTATATGCTTTCAAAATTCAAAATATAATTAGATGCCTCCTATAATTAGGAACATTCATTAAATTATGCAAAAAATGATATTTGATTAAAATCGTTTTCATATTCGTTAGCTTTCTGTAACGTAATTTTAAATTTTTGGTTTTATTATACGACTATATAGCTTCGAAAGTTAGGATTATTAGTGAGTGATGAATTGGAACGGATCTGGCAGGCAGCGGTCTTGGTACGATTGAGGTCCTCTATCCACATTTGCCTGGACCGACTGAGAAGAGCCAATAGGATACCCAATGTCCCTGCCAACACTGAAAAGAGGACCTCCGTACAGTTTTACCACTACATCATGCTGTCAGTTAAGAAATTGTATTGAGTTAGAGGAATTTGTTGGAAATTTCGTTCATGATATTATGATTGCGTTCTGAATAATAACATTTTCACATTCGAGATATCTTACAGTAACATTCCTTGTTCTCCTCCTGCAACGTTAATTATTTTCCAGTATGAACTCCTATTTTTTCCTTCGGCTTAAATCTATCCAAAAGCAACAGCTTTAAGCGAATAAGCAGGATGTTTTATTACAAATTATTTTATGAGCCTATTAGATTCTTAAGTCTCGTGTGGAGGCGGGTTAGAATACCTCCACCGCAACCCTGCGAGTCGTAGAAGGCGACGAAAAGGGAACCCAGTACCTGGAGGTACCGGACAGGATCACCCTGTCACTGGGGGGACATAGATATAGAGACCTTGTCCCCCAGGTTGGGGGTTGGGCACAAGGCTGACGACAGATTACTGTTGCCAAATCAAATGAAGTGGAAACCTAACGGTTTAATTGACGGCGGGATACAGCAGTATGGCAGAATCTTCTAAGGAAGGCTGTGGCCCTAAAGGGCTGTTTTGCCAGTGATGATTATGATTAGATACTTAAATCAGATCTATTCATGAAGAAAGCAGTCTTCTGGGATTTGGCACAGTGTATATGTGGTGTTAACCGACGTTTCGGAGGAACGTATCGCCTCCATCTTCAGGGTAGAAGGAAAAATATAAGAAATCCGCAAGCGAAGAGACCGTGAGAACCGGTTTACCGGTTCTTATATTTTCTTATATTCTTATATTCATGTCGTATAAAAACTTAACCAAACCAACTAAGTAACACATCAGTATAGTAAGTTGTGCAGGAGGCCATGAAGCCCAATATCAAATGCCTGTCACACTTCCCTTCTTCCAGTGAACCACGTACAACAGCGTGAACTCTTCAAGGGAGGAAGAGGAAGTTAGGAAGAATCAGATGGAGAGACATGGAGATAAGAAAGAAAGGAGGAACAAAGAACAGTAGAAGTAAACAATAGTTGTAATAGTATCAGATTAGGATGATAAGATACAAGATGGAGGAGGAAAAACAGCGGAATGGAAATATTAAGAGAAAATGAAAGGTCAGGAGTAAGAGAGCAAAAGAGTGTAAAACAGAAGCTGAAGTTGTAAGGGAAACGGATTGGGCAATAACTAAGCTCTGAGGTGTGATATTCCTACAGTTTAGAGTGTTAGAGGGACTTGGTAACATCAAGAAGATGACTGCAAACACACTGATCCCATTTCAATCTGACCAAAACACTGAGAAGGCTCATGCAGATGGTGAGTCCACTGCTTCTTGCTCAGAAACCAAAAATATAACGTATCGTACCGGATGAAAATTGTCACTTAAATCGTCTTCCCCTTTACTGCTATTCCCAAGAAAGAGAAAAGTTATTTCTTTTTCTCCCTTGGGTCCAGACCTAATGTGGGACCCACTCAGTCTTCTGTACAATGGAAAGGAAGAGATATATAGCACGCATGGGAGAGATGAGAAATACTTACAAAATTTTAGTCGGGAAAACCAGGACAAAAAATGATTATGCTCATCTCAGTAAAACAGAACAAATTTTTTTAATTTGTTTATTTCTTGGGGTGGTGTGAGACTGAGTCCACTTGGTACGTCGGCCACTATTTGACCTACTGGACGAGCCCCGGATGCTAGATGATGATGAGTGTGGAGCAGTTGGTGGAATGATGATTAGCAGGGGAAACCGAAGTACTCGGAGAAGACCTGTCCCAGTGCCACTTTGTCCACCACAAAACCCACATGACCTGATCTCGGATCGAACCCGGACCACAGCTGTGTGAAGCCGGCGACTAACCGCCTAAGCTATGTCAAAGCCAACAGACCAACTTAGTTTTGTGGTAACGATCTGTAACTTTATTCACGAGGTACCGGTTTTGAATCCCTGATAAGATACAAGCTATCGTGACTGAGGTATTGGATAGTTTCTGTGGGGTTCTCTAGGCGAATATTTTGGTAGTACCTTGAAATAAGCCACGACCACCCCATATAAAATCCTTACTTAATCACTATCATTAACATACTCCAGCCATGCCATATTGTATAACCGCTGCAGTGATGAAAACTCGTTAATGAAATTATGAATCAGCCCACTTCAGTATCAGCAACATGCACTCGGCGCCAGGATCAGAAACGTAAATCAGGCAGGCTTGTGATCTGGCCGGTTGCATTTCATCATATCGAAATACCATTACCTCTTGCCCTGCCCTCTACAAGTATGCGACTAAGCCGCTCCACCCTCGGTGGCACATTGCAACATTGGCTGCTGTCGGCCTCAACTCGTCCGATTGGGGTCACTACACATGAGGCAGCGCTCGTGCTCTCGTTAGGGGCGATCTGTTGCCGACTGCCTGCATGTGTCTTTTTTCTACTTCTCTTACCTTGACTGATTAAGCCCTGTGGTCTGTTTCCCCTCAGAATTAATGCTAAACTATGGATCTTATAGAGAGTTGGCAGGACCCCTTGAATGGGTGATCAGCCCTGTCGCAAAGCCGGAACTACACAAGACATCATAAACGCAGAAGAAATGCACACACACATCCATGCCTCGAATGGGTTTCGAACCCAAGATCACAGTGTTTAAGCGGGGGAAGTCATTTCGTGCCTTAGACCGTGCGGCCACGGTGACTGGTTTAATTCTGAAACCCTAAAACTTAAAATATAATTGTACGTATTGCTTTACAGTGATGTGAAAGTTGGTATCCCTTCCTAGGGGATGAATATATATATTTCGGGTGCTTGATAAAAGGACAACGAGAAGGGTATTTGTACCCAAGAGACAAGAAGTAACCGGTCACAGTAGCCGCAAGAAATGTCTTCCCACTCAAGCATTGGGATCGTGGGTTCGAAGCCCATTCCAGGTATGGATGTCTGTGTGCGTTTCTTCTATGTTTGTGTTGTCCTGTGAAGGTAACGGCCTTGCGACAGGCTGATCACCCGTCCAAGGATCCCACCGACTGTCTACAAAATTCATAATTTCAGAATTAACTCTGAATGGGAAGAGATCAGAGAGTGTAATCAGTCAGAAGAAGAACAAGAACAAGTAGGGAGGAAGTAACAGGTAAAAGATAAATTTGTCCCTGTGCTTAACTAATTAAGGACTAGGCCATGAAGACGTATGGGGGAGTGGATATATATATATATATATGCATGTATTCCTGACTTCGGCATTCATTCGAAGTGAGAGGTTAGTTTCACGCCCCGGCCGTTTTACTGCCGCTCAAGGAGCCTTCTGTACGCATTGAATAGGAGGCCGGATGGACCCTAGAACCTGTCTGGACGACGAGGAGATGAGAAAATTTTGCCCCTACCGGGGCTCGAACTCCGACCCCTCGGCCGTCCAGGCCTTTGCCAGTAGCCTGTCCCCTAGAAGGAACAGGAGGATGGATATAAATGTATTATGATGGGCCTGATGATATGTAGGCTCAATCTTCGCGATATATGTGAATGGTGAGCAGTGTCACAACCCATCGGACAGTCACTGCATCTGACAGAGCTCACTGGCTCCAAAGAATAGAGTCCTTTGAGAGAAGTTAATGGTCCATCAGCTGTTCAATAAATATCCCGTACTTTACATAACTGGAAATTTCATTGCTGTGCTCACGGAGCTACCACTAATTCCTGACACGGGTCACAACTTCACACCCTCCGAATTTCGTACGCTACATCTTTCCTTCAGGTTTTCCCTCTATCCAATCTGTGCACACCGGCCGATCGTGAGGATAATTGAGGAGCTATTTCAAGGAAATAGCGGCTCCGGTCTAGAAAACTGAAGTTAGGGGCCGTGGGGATTCGTTACGCTGACCACGCGACACCCTCTATCCGCTAAAGTTGGCACTAACTTCGTCAACAAGCGGCGGTCGCTCGGTCGGAATAGTTCGCTTGCGGACTAAAGCCACGAATTTTGTTTGTTGTTTTGTAATAGTGCTTGTGATATTAATGCCTGAAATTCGACCTGGCGATAGAAAACAGGCAAAGGGTCATAAATAGCTTGTTGAAAGTAAAAGACGAGCTTTGCTTCAGACTCCAGACTCCTAGGAAGGAAGTTAAAGAGGTAAAGATAAGGTAAAGCTATCGCTATGACAAGCCATGAAGGCCCATAGGGTTTTGAGACGTCGAGGCTCCCACATTTTCTAGACGATCGGCTCACAGATGGCGGTAAGGTTGTCAGTCTTACCCATCGGCCGCCCTTTACCCCCCAGGAATCTTCCTGGTACTCATTTCTGTTAGAAGCTGAGTCGACTCCAGGGCCATAGGGCGACTGGGAGTATTAGGCAAATTTAAAAATCAAATAACATTATCGGAAGTCGAACCCGTAATCTTCCGGCTTGTAGCATAGTGCCTGAACCAACTACGCTACCAAGTGCCCGAAGGAGGGAAGATAAACTCTCGAAATAAAATTTTAACATCAGCAAGTCGAATAACTTAAGATTAGTAATTACAAAACGGTTCGAGCTTAGTATCTTACCTTGTACATTTTGTTGTGTTCCTAAGGCTGAACAGAAGACTGTGTAATGAATTCGGTGTCCGGAACGAAGCTTTTATACATAGAGGCAGTTGAACCTAGGGTGGAAACTAAGGCACCAAGGACGTGCTACACTGATTAACGAGGTGACAAGAGATAAAATCTAATAGGGGGCATTTATTTTGCAACTTTTCGAACCCGTTCTTGGACGATTTGCAAATGTAATATCCTACGGGGAACAAGTTTTGTGCAGTTTATTGGTGGGAGAGATATTAAAATAATGACATTTCAAGGACAACTTATGTTCGGTACGAATTTACTAGCTATGTATTTCGAAAATTTATATTTAAAGATTCTGTGAATTTGAAATAATTTGGGAACCGCCCCTGTGGCCTAGTGGTCAGAGTTCCTGGCTACAGATCCAGGGGTACCGTGTTCGATTTGCGGCGCTACCAGATTTTCTGAGATGTAGTGGGTCAGGAACGGGGTCCACTCAGCCTCGTGAGGATAATTGAGGAGCTATTTCAAGGAAATTGCGGCTCCGGTCTAGAAAACCAAGATTAACGGCCATGGGGATTCATTGCGCTGACCACACGACACCCTCTATCCGCTAAAGTTGGCACTAACTTCACCGACAAGCGGCGATCGCTCGGTCGATATAGTTCGCTTGCGGGCTACAGGCCACGGAGTTTGTTTTTTGTTTGAAATAATTTGGGAACGACAAGAGACATAACCAAAATTGCATTCAAGAAGAGATTATTGTGATGAACGTTGTTCCTTACGGCCTAAGTATCTTGCCATGAAGACGTATGGGGAATTGGATGTATAGATCCACATTTTCTTGACCTCGGCACTAGTTGCAGCTGAGTGATCATCTTCACGCCCCTGCCGCTTTACCCCGTGGGAAAGAGCCCCCGGTATCCATTGTATATGAGGTTGTGTGAACCCCAGTATCGGTCTGGACGATTGGAGAAGTGAAAATTCTTGTTCCTACCAGGACTCGAACTCCAATCCCTCGGTCGCCTAGCCCATAGCCAGTCGCTATACCGACTACGCTATCCTGGTTCCTGTCAAGTAAAGGATAATTTATTAATTGAATTGACCTCTACCTTTCCTTTTACTATATGGCGCTTACCACTCACAGAATTCATGAAGCAAGAATTCTCGGGAAATTGAATGCCGTTCAGTTGGCCAAGGAATTCCCCGTTGTTTTGTAGAAGCCACAGTTCTTAATTGCTGTCGGTGCAGATATAGTGCTGTACGAATGCTTGTTACGTACATTTGCGATTAAAGGAATTTTAGTTCTTTTAATTCTTCATTTCTCATGAGATCTAATCTAGTTGCCCATAGATTGTTGTTGCAGTGAATACAAATACCACGGCCTGACCTTAACCACAGTCGATTTCTATAAGTGAGTCAGAAGATGAAGGTCGACCAGCTGCCCGAAAGAGCATTGACTCCAAACGGTTATGCAATAGAGGGCGGTGGTTTGTGTGTGGCAGCAACATGGGACCGAATAGACTCTTGTTACATCATTGGGCCAAGTTAAGAGGCTGAATGAAAAAGCGTGTGTTGCGCAAGAATAAGTGAACTGCTTGATGCAAAAAGGGCATATATATTTATTCTGTTTCTCACAGTTTAGTGTAGTAAATCTTATGAATCCAGACAATTATAACATAAATTTGCATTATTTATTAAGTTCTCTTTGTTTCCGTAAGTTTATATAAAAATATTGCAATTATCCGTAAGAAAATAAGTCACGAAACAACACAAGAAAAGCCATATTGTAACAAAATATCAGTTTGAAATTTATGCGAGGTTTATGTCCCAGATATTTTAATCCCTCAATATTGTGTATGTGATTGTAAAGCTTTTTAATGTAGTACACTCCCTCTGATGATGGTCTTGTAAGAATGAAATTTGTTGGCATTTTAGTAACACGTAACAAACACGAGCAATAAACAAAATGCACTTAAATGGCGACTTGTATCTCACTTTCAGGGAAATGGTTCCTAACATACTAGGTCACATGACGAATCCTNCATATATATTTATTCTGTTTCTCACAGTTTAGTGTAGTAAATCTTATGAATCCAGACAATTATAACATAAATTTGCATTATTTATTAAGTTCTCTTTGTTTCCGTAAGTTTATATATAAGTATTGCAATTATCCGTAAGAAAATAAGTCACGAAACAACACAAGAAAAGCCATATTGTAACAAAATATCAGTTTGAAATTTATGCGAGGTTTATGTCCCAGATATTTTAATCCCTCAATATTGTGTATGTGATTGTAAAGCTTTTTAATGTAGTACACTCCCTCTGATGATGGTCTTGTAAGAATGAAATTTGTTGGCATTTTAGTAACACGTAACAAACACGAGCAATAAACAAAATGCACTTAAATGGCGACTTGTATCTCACTTTCAGGGAAATGGTTCCTAACATACTAGGTCACATGACGAATCCTCAGACTCCGTCATTAGTTACCAGTTTCATCTTAGAAAAGAATAGTGACATAGTTGGCAAGTATAATGCTCTTATTTCTGTCGTGGGAGCGGGGATAGCGCAGACTGGATACGGATGGGACGACCGAGGGGTTTCAGTTCGAGTCCCGATAGAGCCAAGAATTTTCTCTTCTCCAAGTCGTGCAGACCGGCTCTGGGGTCCACCCAAACTCCTATCCAATGGGTACCGGGGGCTCTTTCCCCTGAAGTAAAGTTACCTGAGCGTAAAGCTGAGCACTAACCTCCAACTAGTGCCGAGGTCAAGAAAACGTGTTTCTATATATCCACTACCCCATACGCCTTCACTGCGCAGTGATTAGTTACTTAAGCATAGGAACAGCTTTATCTTTTGCTATTTCGAAGCTCGACTACTATAAATGAGATATTTTCTGGTTTTACTCAATTCCGCCAGGAGAGCCAGTCTAGCGCAGTCCGTATAGCGACCGGCCACAATGGAGGACCAAGGTGTCGGAGTTCGAGTCCTGGTGGGGGCTTTTTCCCGTGGGTGAAGTAACCGGGGAGTGAAGCTGACCACTCACTTCCAACTAGTGCCGAGCTCAAGAAAACTTGGATCTATACATTCACTCCCTCATACGTCTTATTGCTTAATTAAACACAGGGACAACTTTACCTTTTTATTTCTGTGCGGGAGGTGCCCGGTTCTGATCTTGGCGGGACTTCTGTTTTTCCTGGCTGAGGTTTCAGTGCCTCAGATACATGTAGTCTCTCCAAGCGAATGTTCGGATAGTACCTTAAAATTGGCCGCGACGGCTCCTTGCAAGGTCCATATCTGCCTCCGTGATTATTTTCCCATCCAATTTCGTGTTACATAGCCTAGCTACGGAGAAACGTCGTTACTTTAAAAAAGGAGTAAAAGGTAAAGCTATCCCTGTAGCAGGCCGTGGAAGCCCATAGGGTTGTGAGACGTCGAGGCTCCCACATTTTCTCTAGACAATCGGCTCACAAATGACAACTAGTAATAAATAAATATGTAATTAAATCGTGATGTTTCAAACGAATGCCTGTTGACTGTCAGTACATATAAGCCTATTTTGTACTTGGTAGAACACTGACTTGAAATACGATCAGGAGGCTTACATGAAGATAAGATTTGAGGGTTTTCACAGAGAAAAAAATTCATCTTCTTTTTAATTATGACAACTTGTAGTCTGGTAGGCGGATATCAACAACACGAAAGAACATACTCACTTCATCTTCAGGGTAGAATTGTACTCTTCAGATAAACATTGGAAAGTATTGCGTCCATCATCAAGGTATAAATACACACGAAAGCATTCCCAAACATCGATAGGCACATATCAAACTGGAGGGCGTCAGAACCCAGAGGACCTCAATATGGATCGTGAAGGAAGTTCCGCGGCTTTTCAAGATGTCAGAATATTACTGTATTTAAGCATCCCGTTCCACCAATATATCAATTATTTCATATAACATATATTCTAGTTGCACGCACGCAGCAGACAAACTACAACGAAACTACACAAGCTCAGTGATGGGTCTACATATATAAGATAAATCAACACAAACACCTATTAACTACACGAAATACGAACATAGCAACACAGCCAAGGATTGGGCTGATAGGTCCCATAAGAATTAACTGGTTTTATTAAATTTAATAAGGTTGACCTAATTTAAACGAATTTTAATTTTAATTAAGGAGTGTCGATAACTAGCCACATGCCATTGTGACATGCGGCGCAGAGCAACAGTTTAGCATAGCGATAGATCCTGATAATGGCCAAGTATGGCAGAAACATGTCGTGAAGAAAGAATTGAAGTGACTGTAACTTTTTGTTGCATTGGTGACGGAAATATATATATATTGTATGAAATAAGTCATAATATTGTGTTAAAGCGATCGGCCACTTTCATAATTGTTCTGTCAGTTCATATTCTGCAGTATGTAAACTTTGCAGTTGACAACAGAGACTAGAACGCCGTCATCTTTCTTTGTTTAGAGACGTACTTATCTTTACGTATCTGTTCATGATTAAGTGACCATGATCTTAATGATGACGGTCCATATGAGATCTATGTTTGCAGAATTTCGCATCAAACTAGGCAATTGTTTGTTATCGGTGGACAGACGGGTGGGGCTGTAGTGACCCACATTGCTCAAGTTTGGTTGGGTGGGTCCTTGATCCCCTGGGGCGCACTTCACTTTCACTCTAATCAACCAACATATAAAGACAACACGTGGCGTATTGCTCCATTTGATGGCGTACCGGTGAATAGTGCGCATTTTGGTCTTGGCATCCTAAAGAATGCAATTCGTTCTGACCACAAACCTCAATATCCTACGCAAGCAATTCAGAAAGTTTGTGCTACAGAACCATTAGTCCCATGATAATTTCTCAGTATCTGTGCTGATAACTTCTCTTATGAAGAAATAAAATTATTTGTACAAAACTTACAACCTTCGGGATTGTAAAGCCATGTTGTTTGGTCGGCGGACATTTCGCAGAAACAAATCGCTTCCATAATCATGTAAATTGTGCCGTCGACACAACATAAAATTATCTTCAAGACGAAGAAAAAATAGACACTACTGTATTACTATTATTTATTTATTATGCTAAGATGTTCGCTACATGTTTCGACCTCTTCTGGGTCATCGTTAGGCGAGTTACAAAAAAACAGACCAAGATCATAACTGTGTTTCATAAAAAAGCGATTTATTACCACCAGTCTTTTCTCCTCTGCTCAACCGTTCGTACACACAGTGATCATATTCGTCTCCACAGCGATAAACAGCAGAAAAATTGACAACGGAAATACATAAGAATCTCATAAAAACAAGCAATTTTAATATTCTTCCAATACATGTCATTTTAAAAGTTTTCATGTCACGAAGAAGCACTTTTGTTGGTTTATAAGCTACCTAGTATATATATATATATATATATATATATAGTGTGTGGCGTTTCTTATTTTATAACACGTATTTGCTAAGATCATCCACAGGTTTTATATGAAATATTCTGGGCCTGCAAATAAAGTCATAGATCTAATGGAACAAAGTGATAAAAACATATCTTTTATTAATGCGAATTTCAAGATACGTAACTACAGATCGTAAACGCAGTGAAAGTATTATACAGAAATAACGGAAATCACTAAAATCATAATAAATGTATGTAAAGAAAGTGTTAGAACATTTGGAAAGAAGCCTGAAGGTTGAATTCTTAAAGCTGCTCTATGAATACTAAAACTTAGGGTAAAAATGCCAGGGGCGTCCGCTAAAAAGACGAAAGGAAATATTTTAATTCCTGAAACGTCAACAGGCCAAGAGGTTGCTTCTTGTTGACGAAGATAATGACGCCTGCCAAAAAGAACTGGTGTTACGATATTGGACAATCTAAGATGGATTATGCTGTGAAGGACAAAATTTATGAAAAATTCTGATGGAATGTATAACTTATTTCATATATTTCATAGAGAAAGGTAGAGGTAAGGTGAATTTGCCCCTGTCAAATGTCCAGCACCACTCCATGAAGACTTTTGGTGGCTGGAAATACAGCTCCGCATATTCCTATGAAGCACTTTGGCTCAAATAACGCTTCGGATTTATGTTGGGTAGGTGCCTTTCGAATATCTGGCTGGGACACCGATTCCTCGTGGTTTTCTTCAGTCACACTAGGCGAATGTAAGGTTAGTACCTCAAATTAGGCTCCGACTGCTTCCTTCCACTATTTCAAATGTATTCAATACCGTCCTATAATTCACCGCTATAGCCTGGGCTACCGACAAAAACAAAACAAACAAACTCCGTGATTTTAGTCCGCAATCGAACTATACCGACCGAACGACCACCGCTTGTCAGCGAAGTTAGTGCCAACTTTAGCGGATAGAGGGCGTCGCGTGGTTAGCGCAAGGAATCCCCCCATTAATTTCGGTTTTCTAGACCGGAGCCGCTACTTCCTTGAAAGAGCTCCTCAATTATCCTCACGAGGCTGAGTGAACTGCGTCCCAGACCCACTACTTCTCAGAAAATCTGGTAGCGCCAGGAATCGAACCCCGGGCCTCTGGATCTATGGCCATGAACTCTGGCCACTAGACCACAGAGGATGTCCCTGGGCTACCGACAGCGTCGTTAAAGAAATCGTAAAAAAATACATATACGGTAATCTTCATGCCCTGGACGCCTTACTATTGGGGATAAATTCCCGACGCCCCTTGTAGGTGAGGCTAGATAGGCCCCAAAGCCGGTATGAATTGAGGTGGCGAAGAAATAATTCGTACTCCTGTCAGTAATCGAACACCGTTCTTTTAGTCCGCAGTCCAGTCACTATACTGACTGAGCTATCTCGGCTCTCAGATCTTGATGTAAAGTAATCTGCACCATTCATATGCACAGGGTACTTGTTTAGGATGGAAACGCTTTGACGTCCCAAACAACGCTTTTTGGACTCTGAGATCATTCTTGTCTGGTACAACTTTGATCGAATACTTCCTCCATCACGAAGCAGTACTAGCATAGCTCTCGTGTTTGGGCTTCGCAACTTGTAATAGCTGCAAGTTGAGTTGAATACCAAAGTTTTAAATGGAAGATTATTTTGAAACCAAACGTTTGGAATGTGAGTTCACACTAATCTATTAATAATAATGGTATGAAATTAGTGAACTTTGATATATCGAAAAGTGGATTTTAAAAAGCGCACTGTTCCATACAATAATATACATAAAGAAAACGTAGACGTCTTTAGATCGTGTGACACGAAATCAAACTGACGACATTTTATTTATTAAAAAAGTCAACGAAGAATAAATAAAATGAAGGGGCTTGTGGGTAAAGTAGTGTGATAATCTGTGTTTAAATTTCTGGATCTATTTTCATTTATTACTGTGGAAGCCTTGTAGAAGGACTGAATGATATACTGACTACCAATTAGTGATTCGAGAATTAAGATAAACTTTCTAGATAAAAAAAACAGACGGAGCAGGTATTCAAGGTGAAAAAACATCAAATAAAGCACTGACTGGCATAGACCCTACATCTCAATTAAGAACGGCAGATTAAAAGCCTGAATACGTTTGCAATTTTGGATGAATGGGAAAAAATGACATTCAGTATTCATATCTGGGGGTTTCCGTGATAATAAGAATATATACAAATTTCAGCCAATAATATCACAGATACTGTGGAATTAGCCATGGATTAATGATAAATAGTTTAGATTAGTAAAACGAATAAAGAATTCTATATAAGTAGTCTCCTGGTACATGATTATCAAAATCCACGACATCAGGTACCAGGAGATCGTTATGTTCTTAGTCACCTCAGTTTTCACAAAGAATGTTAGCATTGGAACACAGTTTCAAATACAAAAATAACAGAAATTTGACGTCCAACAATACAAAATATTTGAAGGTCGAATTCAGTGCTAGGTGATTAAATCAACAATTGCAAAGGGGAGATCGAAGTTTTCCCATGGGTGAGAATGTGATCTGCTGGGTGAGGTAAAGAAGCTGTAGTACTCTAAAGTATCTCGGAGACTCAGTACTAGAGGGTAGCAGTAACTTATCTAACTACTTCCGACATCTTATGGACGAAACGTGTACTATATCGAGTAGATTCCTAAAGGATTCTGACGTTGGTGTATAACTCTCAGAATCACTGGGTTTTTGGACTTCGTCCATCGTCCGGTATTCTAAAAACTAGAAACACTTAGAACATCGTACGATGCTCAAAGTCCATAAACCCATTAATTCTGGATGTACTATATCGTTCAGGAAAGAAATGTTGTGGTCACAATTACGGTACTTAAGATCAGTTGGTAGTACTGAGTATAGTTGATCTGTGGCGGTCCGTGGTATTATTTGGTGTTCAATGATGGTGTTATTAATTGGAAAGACAGCTGATAGATAGGTCTTGAATTTGTCTACTGTGCTACTTTATGTGCGTGAAATAGATTAAGTCTTCATATCATCAGTACGTTAGTTAAAAGATCTATTTCAAGTACGTATTGTATAATGTATTTTACTGTTCAAAATTGCAGGGCGGGTACAGACCTGACAGATAACACCGCCAAGTTTGATTTCAATTTGTTGCGTTAATACACACTTAAGAGCATCACTTTAAGGCAAATTACGTACAATGACATCGTCAAATGCAATGCGGCAGTTGGAAGAACGACATGTGGCAACCAAAGTGGAGCTTATGGTGTGGTCCAACAAGATGGACTTGCTGGCACTCTCTAATGTTAGAGGTAAGATAAGTGGGTTCAGCCTTTGCATTTGATTGGTTTCAGAGCTCTCCTTTGCCCGATACAAGGAAATAAATCCACATACATGCTTTGTCACTGTTAATTTACACCAGCTACATACCCTCATGAATTCTGCATTTGGCGATGTTGGAAGGTTTTTGTGTTAAATGTAGCGGCTCTAAGATGCTGTCAGGTGTCACATTTTAAATTGATTAGGTTATGTTCACGGTGTACATAGTCCTGAAAGTCATGCTCATCGACCATCTTCCCTTGCTCTGCCAGTAGTGATTGTGGGGCAAGACCCAGTGATCTGCAGAAGACTTTTCTTTTTTTAATTCAGTATCTTCATAAAATGAAGTCATGAATGGGAAGTGATGTCTGTCTGTCCAGCCATGTTTCCATCTCTCAAAATAATTGATTTTAGTGATGTTTGGTTGCAAGGAGGCCTTCACTATTATGAAGTAAAGTTTGTTTAGGTCTGTATGAGGTTCACTATAAATCTTGTTTTAAACAAAAATCAAATCAGATGTTATCATCTCCTCCTCTCNTGTGTGTATTGTGCTTTGTGTTGTGTCTTGCTCCTGTGACTGCATGTGTTATACTGCAGTATAACACACGTAGGGATGTAAAATCTTGAACAATTTTAATATTTTTAACTTTTAACATTTATCAATATATATGATAAATATATATTTTAGTTATTTTAATATGAAGACGACAAGGCATGCAATGAACTAGTTTGGCGTAAATCGAATAAGCACCTGAGGATGGCACATTTGTGCCGAAACATGTAGTGCGAGAGAGAGGAGGAGATAGATGAGTGTATGCACTGGAAGATGGTTGAAATAAATCATGGACTTAAATCAATGCAACAGGACGCTAAAATATAACAGATGTTATCATATTTCTCAAAAACAATCATATGAAGAAAAGTTTCATAACAAAAAATACAGATCCCATTATGATCTGTAGATTTCATATAAATCATATCACAGTATACTGTAGCATGTATTTAATGGGACACAAAAGTAATAGCTGTCCCTGTGTAGTTTGTTGTGCTGCCGTTGGTTGCATCTGTGTTATATATCAAATCCTATTGTCTATTTTTCCCTGTTATCTGTATCTAAAGTGAGGGTGCCAGTAACTGTATCATTTTTACACTTATATAAAGAGTATGTGTTCACCATTGTTTCATTACTTGGCAGTAATAGTGTTTAAAGTGATAGTTTGTCATTCACAATCTCAATCAGCATGCAATGCCACAGTCATTAATAACAGAGAGTGTGTGTGATGTCACACCCTTTCAGTTTTAAAAGAAAATGCCGACAGTAGTTTAACTACCGGTAGGTCACCCATGCTGGAAAGGTCAAATGGTAGAGTCCTGACTAAGAGAGATACCCTGGTCCACCAGGTTGGGGGTTGGGTATGAGGCTAACAACCTCATCCTGTAAAAAAGAATTTTGTTCAGAAACCTAACAACCAGCCTTGGTACATCATGTGTGGATCCATTCCTATGGCAGCACGCATTGTTTGTGGAAACTGGCTGTAGACGAGGCCAAGGCTCACCCAGGGCTGTAGCGCCAAGTGGTAGGTAGGTAGTTATTTTAAAAGAAACCACATCAGAGAACTGGAACTTTACTATAATTTGCCTGAAAGATCTTTTAGAGTGTGTCATATTGTAAATTTGGAACTTTTCCGAATAAAATATGTTCAATAAACTCCTCAGTATGGTGATACTGGTTCCTACTGTATGTTGAAAGGGGATCTGCTAACTTTCTGATGTTGATGTACTGCCTTATGACACTATCTGATGATGACATTTCATCAGGTGTGTTTTAGGATGATAATAATTCCCAGTTTGTGAATGTGAAGGTCGGTTAGTGTATCTTTCACGTCTTGTTCAAGAGAGGTATGCCTCTGTTAAATGATTGTACCACAGTGCGTATATAAAATACATGTAAGTTAATATGTTGAATCTTCAGAAAAGGGCAGACATTCCCTGCAACTCAGTGGTGTACCCAAATTAATGGTTAATCCATTCGTTTGGCTGCAGGAGAGGTGGCTCTTCATCGACTCACATGGCAGAAAGTCTGGGCCCTTCCACCGCCATCAGAAGGTGTTGACGTGAAGGGAATGGCTTGGAGACCTGATGGCAAAGTGATTGCTGTTGCCTACAGCAACAGTAAGTGTCACTACATCATATCTTCTTGTAGGTCAGATACAACACTTACTTTTCAGCATGAATGTGAGTCATCTCATGAATATGCTCTTCTCATATGACCCTTTTTTTTTCTCTTTTAATTCTTTCTTTTTAATTATTATTGCATAAAATGTTATAGTCTCATAAAATCACTCCCAAAGTAAACAAAAGTATATTTCTAGTGTATTTATTATTCCTTTCATGTTCAAGACATATTATGTAAAAATCAATTCATACAGTTTCCACTATGGGTAGTTTACTAGGCAGACATAACTGACTTTTTATTGCAAAACCATTCACTGCTGTGATAAATGTAAGAACATTGGTCCGTGGGAATATATATTCATATGATAGTCAGAATAAGTAAACGGTTTCAGTACAGTTTATTTTAGGAATACCTGGGCGAAAAGCAAGCACGTTTGCTAGTACTCAGTGTGAATCCTGACCTCTGAAAAAGGAAAGGTAAAGCTATCCTTGTAACAGGCCTTGGAAGCCCATAGGGTTGTGAGATGTTGAGGATTGCACATTTTCTAGACAATTGGCTCACAGATGGTGATGAGGTTGTTAATCCTGACCTATTGATCTCATGATCTCACTGTGGTTGGCACTACTAGTGTAATCAACAAACCAAATGTCTGTACACATTACAGTTTCTCTTCAATATTAGTGAAATAAATCATTGAACAGCCACTGTAAAGCAAGCTTATGCATTATATGGCAGCCAGTCATAAACCTGGACCCATGTTTGTGTTTAAATGTTCAGTCTGTTGTGTTAAGCTTCTTGTATCAAAATGCCACATTGAAATGGGTGTTCATGTATGTTTGCGTGATAAATGGTTACATAAGAAAGTGAGAAAAGGATCCTCTTTTAAATTTCAGAATATTTCAAATAGAAAACATAGTAACACATTCGCAAATAAATTAAGTCAGACAGAGTCATTATTGGACAGAAAAAGAACTTAATCAAAATGCCATTTGCTCACTAAAGATTAACTGGATGAAGTATGTGATGGGCTTGAATGTCCTCAAAAATCCCTCAGATGCCTTGAACAGGAAATTAAGCTTCAAACGCACCAATACAGACTGCCACAGAACTGAAATTCATACCATGTAAGACAACAGCAGTCAATTTGCCATGATGCATAAGCTTCTTTCTTGGTAGCTGCTCAAAGATACATTGGTTATCCAGAAAGTAAGTTCTGAATTAAGAACGAAAAAAGAAAAAGAATTTATTTCCAACCCATTTATATTGCCATTTGATGTACATACTGTAAGCTACTTTTCAACATAGTTCCCACCATTGTTGAGGCACTTGTAGTGGGGTACCAGTATTTGTATCCCTGCATCGTAGAATGTTGCTGCCTGCAATGCAAACCACATGTTAACAGCTTCTTTGACCTCATCGTTGTGGAACCGCCAGCCACAAAGGAAAGTTTTCAGATTCAGGAACACATGAAAATCACGCTAAGTCTGGGCTGTAGGGGGGATGATGGAATTGTTCCCAGCCAAGTGTGATGAGACCTTGCATTGCGGTGGCAGTGTGTGGGTGGGCATGGTCACGAAGCATCACAACACCCCAATTAAGTATGCCATATTGCTTGTTCTGGATCGCATGACACATTTCTTAAGTGTGTCGCAATAGACACCTGCATTGATTGTTAAGCCTTGAGGCAAGAATTCCACAAGCAGAATGCTTTTTCTGTCCCAAAACACTGTGCACATGACCTTGCGAGTTGAAATGGTCTGTTTGAATTTTTTCTGTATTGGCGATGATGTGTGCCTCCATTCCATGGACTGCTGCTTCGATTCAGGGCTTATGTGTGACACCCATGTCTGATCTCCTCTGACTGTGTGGCTCAAGAAGTCATCACCATGCTCACTGTATCGTGTCAGAAAGGTCAACACACTGTCCTGCTGTTTCATTTTGTGTTCATCTGTAAGCATCTTCAGCGCCTAGTGTGAACATATTTTCCAAAAACGAAGTTTATCAGACACAATTTCGTGAAGAAATGACTGTGAAATTTGTAGAAAATGTAGGGAAAGTGATGAAATGGTGAATTGTCTGTTCTCTTGAATCTTCTCTTCCATTGCACCCACCAAATCTTCATTAACAACAGATGGTCGGGTGCTCCATGGATCATCCATTATTGAAGTGTTTCACCCATCTCCTCACCAATGAATCACTATTGGCATGTTCTTCATACACCTCACAAAATTGACAGTTAATGTCAGCTGGTTTCATGCTTCTTGCATTCAAGAAATGGATTACAGACCACATTTCACATGTTGCGAGCTTCTCGATTTTGTTGAACATTGTAAACACACAGGACAATGCGTAAATGCAGTTCGGTTGTCTGCTAATGGCATCTGTGCCTTCCAAAAGGATCCACAAACTCTGCACGTATGCGCACCATAGTGACCATAAGGCTGCAGGAGCAATATTTGGAAATGGAACTTATTCTGTGGATATGTCTTGTATGAAGAGAAATTGCAAGCCTGCAAACAGTCAAAATTTGTGCAGCCACAGCTAATGCAAGGGGCATCTGTTTCCCTCACCTTAGTAACCGGATTATTTTGGAGACTCTCAGAAATGATCACACTGTCTTTAAAGATGCAGTTGAGCTGTTTGTGTGTCAGTGTACATCAGATTGTGATACCTGCAAGATGATAGATGTGGTGTGTTTATGACAGTGGCTCATTTGATTTGTTTTTTTCCAGGTGATATTTTGCTGATTGATGTTGAGAACAAGGAAACTCTGCATACAAGCCATGTTGATGGGGAGATAACATGTATTAATTGGGTCCAAGAGAAAGACCCGGGTGATCCAAAATCTAGTCTCCTCCGTAAACAGAAAGACATTACAAAGAAGTACACAATCCAGGATAGCACAAGCAACTTCTTGCCCAAGCTGCCGTTACTCTCTCGTAGCTTTGGGTCTGTGAATAAATGTATTGAAGAGAACTTGGAAGATGCCAAGAAGATCAAAGAGCAGACTCACTTGAATATTTTACTTGTAGGGGTAAACACTGGAAAATTGTATCTGAGCATATTTGGATTGTTTCCTTGTGGAGTTGTTGACATGAATAGTCATATTGGTGGGCATTTGTGTACTATTTTGGATGCAGATGTGTCTTGTGACTTACGTGTGTTGTTTATTCTACTATCGTGTTGGAAAGAAAGGGATCAAGGAGAGGATCAAGTTAAGGATGAGAAGAAAGAGCTCTCCCTTGTTTTGTTGGACACTTCAGTGTTAGCAGTTCGTTCCCCTGAACTTCATGCATTGGCTCTGAAACATGGTCACATTGTCAGCCTTTTAGGCTACCTGTCTCACACCATGCATTCAATCACTGAAGCTTGGGAGAACATTTTGTTAGAGATGGATTCCAAACTAGCTTCATATGCAGCAACAGTTCCCGAAGGGTCAGTGTCTGCAGACTTCTTGGATCTTCTGATGTTTGGAATTCCATCAGATGAGCTAGAGATGTTCCTGCTGCAAGATCTTACTGAAAAGGGACTTAAGAAGTTAGGTCATTCAATTGAACTGAGCTACTCAAACATTCAAAAGCTGGTTCTTAAACATTTACACTCAGTGGGTCAGAGTTTAGCATACCACTTGTCTGAACTGCGAGGAATGGCTCGACGCACCGACCGATATCAAATGTTGGGTTTACAGGAGGAGACAGTAGCCAAGTCGCTCACAGCTACAGGTGCTTTCCTTGTTAAAGCAACAGAAGTTCAGCAGGTTATCGATAACTCCATGAAGAACTACAAGGTCTTCTTTAGGTGGTTATATGTTGTGATTCTCCGTCTGACTGATGAGCGTGTGCCAGCAGAAATAACCAAAATGACTCAACAGGATTTAGCTTTTATAGCAGATTTCTTACGCAACTTTGATGGCACCAGGGTGAGACAGGAAGGTGACGGTGTGCCAAGTGGGAGTTCCCGGAAACCAGGGTTTAATTTGGAAAGGCTTGGTCAGTATTTAGTGGACCAAGAATTGATAATCCCCCCTGATACAGATAACAATCCTTGGGCAAAATTCCTGCAGGAAAATAGTCTTCTTGCAAATCATCCATCAATAATTCCCCATTTTAGAAATATGTCTTTGGTGCAGCAACACAGTCACCTGAAGACAGCAATTGGTGATGTATTTAGGCAGCCAGAAACGTCTATAAGTGAGTTGTTTAAAGTGTCAAACATTATAAAATGTTTGGACATACCCCAGACAGGAGAACCAAGGCTCACACACATCAATGTGGCGGACGATTGGAAGCTTCTGTTAGCTTTTTTAGATTCTTCTTCTACAGCTGAAGGATTTTACCTCATGGAAATACCCACTGACAAATCCTCAACATCAGGGGATGAGGCATCAGCCAGATGTGCATATTTCTACTTTAACCCATTGGCATCAAAAGGAGGAGAAGATAGGAGGGGCAGTGAAGCGGCTTGGTCTTTGCCGATGAAAGTCTTGGATGTTCAGTTCTATTTGCAGGATGTTCTGTCGGTTCTTCTTGAGCAAAATGGGGAAAATCGGAGTGCAGTATTTGTCCAGTTTCCTATGAGAGTTGCTCTGGAAGTTACGATTTCAGTTTCCTTGTCAGGGATGTCAGATGGTGACCAGGTGAAGCATATCCTGAGCTGTGCTCCTCGAATTGAAGCCACTGTGCTGCTGGATTCTGGGGCTCTTCGACCTGTGGAAAATATGGTAGCCTCAAGGTTTGCTGTGAGTGGCACACGAAAGGTGGCGGTGGTTCTATCAGAAAGTCGTCGCAAAGTCAGGCTGTTTGAAATGGAGGTCGAAGAAGAAGAGGAGGATGATGAAGCAATGGATGCAACCGCTGCCAACCTCCGAGACAGTGACACGAGCATTCTTGATGTTAGCAAAAGTATGGATGGAAATGAAGGGGACAGTCAGGCAGAAGAAGCTGCTGGAATTAATGAATAGGTCATATTTTATGTAATAATATGAAACTTGTTAAGTAATAATAATGTATTTCAGGGTCATATTTTGTGTGAACTATTTATTATAGGTTCCATCAACACAGTTCCTTCATAAATTGATACTTTTTTCTTTACAGCGTGTTTTGGCCATTTATGGCCATAATCAGATAAATAATTTTATATTCATATGTGTTATTTGCAGTATTAATGCCAGCTATAGTTCATATGTAAACTTTATATTTGTTTGGTTACAATTAATTTTAGTTAATATAAAATAAAATGGAGAGTGATTAATTAATAATAATGCTACTACTACTAATAATAATGCGGAACCCTCAACGTCTCACAACCCTATGGGCCTTCACGGCCTGGTACAAGGATAGCTTTACTTTTTTTTTTCTTCCTTCTTTCTACTACTAATAATGAATCCATTTGGTCTGTTTCACATCTTTAGAATGTATTTCTATAAGATTAATTTTAGTATTATCCTCCCATATATATATTAGGGCACGCATGGTAGTGTAGTTGGTTGATGCAATATGCTACAAGCCAGAAAGTCGCAGTTTCAGTTCCTCATGAGCTCACTGCATTTTCCAATCGACGTATTCCTGGGGCCCTGTGGTCAACAGCCTCTAACAGAAAGGAGTACCAGGAATCTTCCTGGGGGGTAAAGGGTGGCTGGCACGTAAGGCTGACAACCTTACAGCCATCCGTGAGCCTACTGTCTAGAAAATGTGGGAGCTTCAACGTCTCATGACCTGTTACAGGGATGGCTTTTCCAAGATAGAGCTATTTCACTGTACACTGTACAGATAAGCAACACACCATGTCCTCACATAAGTTGCAAAGTGCATTGGTGTTGACGGTGGAATTTTCGAAAATGTGTTATACTAGATAAACTGTACCAACTTTGACACCTGAACAATAAATACCAGTATTAGAAACCGTATTTAATATCACAGTGAAAACAACACAGCAAGCCACGAGCAAACCCTGGATGACATCAAGAACCTCCTCATCAAGATAGACAGGCGGCACAAAATCTGCCCCATACAAGAAGGACGATAGGAGTATGGACACGAACCTACGTGGTTTAAAAATTTTAACTAGTGACAATAAAGGTTTTTTAAATTAACAGCTAGAAACTTTAAAAACTTTACAATACCAGGAAGCTGCTGTGATTGTGAAATGTTCGACTTTATGCGTACTGTGCATTATAGAATATAAGTGTATGTATTTTAAATCAAAACACCTATTGTGATGGTAGTTTCCAGTTTGTAATGTTGTTCCCTCTGAAGATGGTCCCTAAGGACCGAAACATGTAAGGGAGATAAGTTTTCATGTAGTAAAAACTTATATGTCACATTGGACGGAGTGGTTTGTATTTATCAGTTTCTTGTCAACAGTTTTGGAACTGTATAGTGAAATAGCTCTATCTCAGAAGCATTTTGAATAGGACACACGTACATATACACTTTTTGCTTAGAATGACCAATATCGTGACCTCCAAGAATATTGATCTTTCCTCCTGAAACATCCTGTATGTACCTAAATTTTCAGTTTTTTTTTTTTTTTTAAATTCTGATATATCATCTCCAAAAATATGAACATCTACTTTATTGGCATAGTAATGAAATCTACAGCAGTATTGGTGGACATGCAATGGGAGAGTGGGTAGCATTGAACCCCTGATTGGACAACATGAGCCCTTGCTTAACCGGTTCTCTTTTTATGTTGGCTAACACGTGACTTTTACAGTGTCTGTTTTGCTGCCGAAGGCTTCGGTCCTTCCTGTGCCTTGACCTACTGACTATAATAACGCTAGTAGTTTCGAATTATGGGCACAACATCTACCCCGGTCTGGGAAACTGGCTCAGAGCCAGTACACTCTAGATCATGCAGTTTTATAATCATCATTACGTTACTGTCGTTTGGTGTTTTGATTGGATTCGAAACTTGTGTTCTCACTTCATGTTGATTATATAATCTGTGCTCCCCTTCAACGGATTTTTAAAGTGCTGAGATGGAATCTAATCGAAATTATCACATAGATCTATTGAAAAGTTGTGTCGACTAATTAGGCGAACGAAGAAGAGGAACGGACAGCTAAGAAGTTTATGAGATATGAGGTTCTCACGGTGGTGAATATGATCATTGCTATCTTCTGGTATATGACACCGTGTAGTCTGGTAGAAAGGTATCCAGTATGCTTGCTGTTTGCATAATCAGCTTACTCTTCAACGCCTCCAAAACGTCATTGAACTTCTGCCAGACTGCATGGCATTACACTTTGTACGGTCACGGCCATGAAAACCTCAAAACTTTGCAGGTTATCCGGGGGATGGCGAGCTTTGTTCAGAAAATTGACCGGTGTGTCCCATATCGAAAGATCAACTTAATTTGAAGTCACTGTTTAAAAGGGAACAAGTATGAAACGAGGAGAGTTTTATTTCTGGTTTGGATATATACTTGGAAACCCAAGGCTCTTTGTTTGAGCTTTCTACTTACTGGTTAGAAGTGAAACAGAAGTTTCCTAGAAACCACACTCGTTTTCCACAAACAGCATTCGAGTAAAATACGTTTATAACGGTACATGTTTTATAAAGCTTTATTCACAAGTTAGCTATATATTTGTTTTACTGATTATCCGGGGTTTCCGATTATCCGAGGTAATTCATTTCCTCATCCACCCCGAGTAATCGGGAGTCTGCTGTATTTCGAAACTCTAATTTTGACCGTCTGCAGCCGTAAGACAGCGGAGTGGTGTATGGTCTGCCCGCCAGTATGATTTTCGCAATGTATCGGGAACCGGCTTCAGTGAGTCAACACGTGGAAAGGGCGTAGCCGTTCGTAACAGTTTGTTCAACCGATAACACGTTGCATTCTACACTTCCAACATTTTAAACTGTCGCTATTGGTATTATTATTATTATTATTATTATTATTATTAGTTGTAATAGCAGAATTTGTAGTAACTGAATATATGAATGAATAAAGCAGAAGCATTCTTGAGGAAGTAACAGTCACTTGGCCAATAAAAAAATTCTCCCACCTTTTATGGAACAAGAAAGTTCGTTACCATAACATCCCTTTATTGAATGATACCGCAAGGCCTAAGCCATATTAATCCAGTCCATATTCTCACTGTTTCCTTCAGATCAATTTTCTATTATCCACTTGTCCGCTTCTATGTCTTCCACCGGTTTCTGCTCTTATACGCATTCTCATATGTACTATCTGTATTATATGTCCTCATCTTCCGTACATAACTTCTTTATTAAGACCGTCAGAACACAACTATATCAAGGTCAGTGCCCGATTTTGGCTCTGCCACATGTTTCGGCTATTAGTAGCCATCATCAGGCAAATACATGACTAACATATATACACCACTGAACTGTAATATTAATAAAATTGGAGACAATAATATTAATTATATTAAAATACTTGACGTAAAAATACAATAAATTAGATTATATAAAACAAAAGTTATAGTATAAAACAAGAATAAAATCCTTCGATTGATGCTTTACATCATCGAATCAGTCGTTGGTTTTTGTGATTTTGTTTCGTTCCCATGGACAAATTGGAGTATTCTATATTTTGTGTATAAAGACTGTTATTGGAGGCTCGTGCTGTAGGTGTAGTAATATTAATGTTAATTCGTATTTAGTCGGTGCCTCATCTTACAAAGTACTGTCCGTTCTATAGGGAATGTAAACTCTGTTCTGTTAGAAGCTGCTTAATGAATGATGAATTGGAACGGAGTTGAAATGAAGCTGTTGGAAACTAATCAATACACTATATTGCCATTTGCCTGGAGGGGCTGAGGAAAGCCACGAAGACTCGCAGGATAGTCAGTATCCCTGCCAAGGTTCGAACTGAATACTACTATAGGGCGTTACCATTACACCAGACTACTCTGTAAGAACTTCGAAATTGTAACAATTTAATTATATGTTTTGTTGTTATAATTAGATGTATGCTGTAGAATAAGAAGGAAAGTAAACGTATCCCTGTAACAGGCCGTGGAGGCCCATAGGTTTGTGAGATGTTGAGATTCCCACATTTTCTAGACAGTCAGCTCATAGATGGCAGTAAGGTTGTCAGCCCTACGCGCCGGCCGC